AATGTCAACAAAATTATAATAAACCTGCAAGACATTACATAGAGTCAAAAGCAATGAAACACGTCAAAAAAACAAATTCAATGGGATAAAGAAGTAAATTGCTGACCTCGGCAGACTTAAGCCTTTCAAAGGCTACTTGAATCTTCAGATTAGTCCACCTCACATTTGGTCACCTCAACATTCTTGGTCTAGCTTGTGGCAGTGCTGGGAGGACCATGGGGGTGTGCTCATAAAACCAGATCTGCGTTAAACATTACGAGTTCTTTTTTAATTGACAATTGCAGCTGAGATTTCAAAATATATTGGTGGAACACAAACCGATAGAAGAAACACAAAACCGTTGATGTAACCAACTGGCTGATCCTTTTTAATTTTAGCCACACAAACATTAAGTTGCGTCTGCAGAAATGCACATACTGTAGCTGGCCAGTTGTACGCTGCAAAAATATCTACATTCTCGCAAATAGAAGACAATTCTTTCGAAACTCTAAAGTTGCTTGAAGGAAAAAGCAAATTTGAAATTAAAAATTTGATTATTAATTGCAGAAGGTTGTGAGATGACTCCCCTGGTGAAAAGTTGAGCAGGGCAGTCTTAATTTGTCTTGCATCCATTGTATCAAGCGGTGCATTGGTCCAACATGCAGGTACTCCTCTGTTGGGCATGCCCACCAGTAATGCAACCTCATCAGGAACAAATTTCACCTCTGTCCCTCCCAAATTGAATGTCATTCGATCAATGTCCCAGCAATTAATTATGTGCATCGTCAAAATATTGTCCTGGGGGTACAGAGGGAGTTCAAAAAATTGCGTCAGACTCAAAGACTCCAATTTGTGCCATGTGTCCTGATCGACTTTTGGTCGGACATTTTCGAGAACCTCTCGGACTGTGGATGGACGGCATCTGCAACTAATTGCTTTTGGGTTCAGAAGCCTACAATGATACATGAGAGAAGTTTCATAAAATTCATTTCACAACAAATTATTTTAGGTTTACAAATTATTTTAGAAAATAAATTATTTTAGGTTTTATAATTTTAGGGTTTATTTCAGCTACAACAAACTAAGTAGAACCATGCACAATAATCAAATAATTGTTGGACATATATTTCTTGTGCTTCTTAACCGTGAACAACATATCACCATTCAAAGGAAAACAGCTACAACAAACTAAGAAATACCTAGAAACGGGATGACTCTCTCCCTTTTTTGACTGTTTGCGGCTTGACTTCACTGTAACAGTTGCCTGCTCGCGTCCGAGTTGGTTCCCCTCACCCAAATCCGCACCAGTGGTCTCTTCCAAGGTCCTCGTACTGTCCTTCTCCTCCATTAAGCGTGTAACTCCTCACAGTAGCGAAACCCTAACCTTCAAAAGTAGAACGATGGAGGAACCCTAGCGGCGTGAATCCCTTCTTTCGAATGTGAATTCTTATAGTGTTTTTTTTTTTATTATTTACCAGCGTAAATAAGTTATAAGAGTTACTTGGACGTTACAATCGGCTTACAAGCGCATTTCGAGTGTACATGGACAGTACATTCGGGTTACAACGACGTTATATTCGGTTTACACGCGTGTTACAATTGGTGGAGGTTACATTGGCATTACACGTGTTGTACATCAAGTGTACATCTGATGTCTTACCGCGGGATTACATGGACGTTACCGCGGAAGTACACTAGGATTACATCCGGCGTACACGCGCATTCGGAATGTTCCACCGAATGTACAACGATGGTACACGCGGATTACAATGGCTTTTCCGCGGAATGTATACCGGGATTACATCCTTTGTCGACAGCGGAGGTTACATCGGGAGTACACCGGGATTACAAGCGCGGTACATGGGGCGGACAACGGAGGTTACATCGGGATTACACCGGGCTTACAGGCGCGGTACATGGTGCGGACAGCGGATGTTACATCGGGATTACATGGGGCTTACACGCGCGGTACATGGGGTGGACAGCGGAGTTTACATCGGGATTACATGGGGCTTACAATGACTGGTCGGGTCGACAGGTCACGCACGATAAGAAGTATATTTTTATAGCGGTGGGGCCGACTAAGCCGACGTGTCTTCCGGTGATTCGCTATCGCACGCAGCGCTGCGTGCGTCTTATGTACCCAAATTTTTTCCCAGCTCGCGACAGAGAGGAATAGGGTAGCAGCAGGTTTCGCGAATGGGAAGGGATAAGCGGACCGAGAGAATGTTTGAGCGAATTAAGGATTTAGGATTTAATAAAAACAAATGAATTTTCTCTATTTTTTTATTTCACATAATTCTTTATTTAAAGTAAATATTTTTAATAAATTTTGCCGATTTGGACACAATTCGACCCTACACGGAATACTATCAAAATAGATGTCCTCCCTAGATGATTTCAATGTTTCAGACGCACTAGCATGGTTTGTTTCGTCATCCAAGGTCATCCGGACGAGTTTATCGATGATCGGGTCAAAAACTCGTCAAATTCAATTTCCATCAAAATTTTGGGTTGAGCTCATTTGACTGATCAAGATTGTGTGGATGATTGTCATAGAGAATTTGGAAAAGATTTGGAGTGATTTTGAATTGATTTGGGTGTTCAATTTGGTGGTATTTTGACATTTGGTCATTTTTTGGGATATTGGGTTAGGCTAGAGTTTAGCTATGGCCCAATTGATGGTTCAATTTTATGTGGGTGATTGTCATGAAGTGTTTTGGATAGAAATTGAGTTTAAATTTTGGAGTTATGACATTCAATTTGGGAACATTTGGAGACATGGCTAATTTGGGGCAAAATTGGGGGTTTTGGATTCAGGTTTAAATTAGGATCAAAGTATGGGTCAATTGGGCTTAGATTTGGTTTGAATCAAGTTTAGTCACAATGAATTTGAGTTTAGAATTGAAATTGGGGGATATTGAGATCAATTTGATGGACATTTGAGATGATCAGGTAATTGGGTCTTTAAGGCAATTTGGGGCTTTTGGTCAAACAAGGTCAAATTGGTCAAATTGAGTTCAATTGAATGGTCTAAATTATCTTTGGAGGCATTTGAAATGATTTTGAAGGTTTTAGGAAAGTTTGGGCAACAAAGGGTATTTTATAATTTTGGCAAATTTGGGGGATTTTGGTAATTTTGGCAATTTTGGGATGTTTTGGGAAATTTGGATAATTTGAAATGTTTTAAAATGATTTTTGAATAAATTTGGGAATTTTGGGTGAAATTGGTTATTTTGGTCATATTTGGGGTTTGGGGGTGTTTTGATAAATTGGGTAGATTTGGGGGCCAAAAGGGTAAGTTAGGTATTTTGGTGAAATTGAGGTATCAACCACCCCATTTGAGCTATGGACCTATGAAATCTCAATTTGGGTCCTTCATGTACTGGTCTTGGCTAGACCTTAGCATAGGGCTAGTGGGTCTAGGGGACCATCTACATGAGTCTCCTAAAAGATCAAGGGATCAAAGACAACAAGTTTGGGTTTAGGGTTGTGAGTGGGATGGGGGGATTGCAATGCAAGTGAGTGTAAGTGAGTGAACTAGCTTCAGATCAACACCCAGGGTCAACCCTAAGGCCAAGTCGTCTTATGGGGATCCCACTTGAGCTCCCCCATATTGACCCCACTTACTAAGTGCTAGAGATTAGGACAAATATGTGGAACTTCACGTTGAGCATAGAAGAGTTTAGAATTTCTAATGGTGACGGTTCATTTTCTATTCATCTAGGAATAATCAACAGAAAGGTCCTATGGCTAGACCTTAGGCTAATAATGAGGAAACTAGTCCTCAAACAAAAGTGAGGTCAACAACACCAAGTCATTCCTATTTGAATTTTGTGAAGACAATCATGGAAACTATGCATTGAATTCTTGAAGACAAAACCCCTGATCTTAATTGAGTGTTTTCTTTCATGACTCTGATTGCCTGAGATGTAATTAAATATAGTGGCTTGCCTCTATAGCAAATTAGGAATAGAGATAAACTAAACCTTGTCTAGTCCTTATACAAAATAGGAGAATTATCGGTCCCAATTTTCACAGACTAAACAGATGTTATAATTTTTCTTAGTTTAAATGGTCGTGTTTACTAACAAGTGATGTGCTTACCTATCAAGGTGGTATATTAATTGTGGTATTGTGATCAACTATCTCTTAAAATATTAAATATATGATATCTATTTGTTCTCATATTTCAAAATTAAAATGTTATTTTCAAAACAAAAAATTATATATACATTAGTAAATTAAATCAAAACATATCTTCACAAAAAATCGGCCAATAATGGTTCAAAGCTTACACACCTCCCAAATTTAGCGTATGTTACCTACATAAATTATTGCAGCTCACCGCTACGGCCTACATGACCAACTATGACTTACTTGGCCGACAGCTCATACAGCTCCCAACCGCATCATTTATGGCCTATAAACTTTATTACGACTTACCACTAAATTTGCATGACCAATAATGACCTATGTTTTTCATAGCTCATGTAGCTCCTAACTCAAAGCTTTGTGGCCCAAGTCATAATTACAACTCACATGTATGATCTATATGATCAACTGCAACTAAAAAGGCTCACAGCTCATGCAACTCTCAAATTCAACCTATAGTCCTACAGACATTATTGCAACTCATTACTATAACCTACATCGTCAACAACTCTTATAAATTTCAACTCGAGCTTCTGTGCTATACGAGTGTTATTGTAGCTCATCACTACTACCTAAGTGAATAATTATGACTTGTGTGGCTCACATCTCAAGTAGCTCCCAACATCGACCTCTGTGGTCTACAGACGTTGTTATAGCTCACCACTACAGCCTACATGAACAACCACAACCTACTCGTCTCGTAGCTTTTACAACACTATACTATAGCATTTGTTGCTTACAAATATAATTGCAGCTTACAACTACGACCTATGTGACCAATTACAGTATATATGGCTAAGAACTCACGCAGCTCCCAACCCTAACCTTTATGGCCTATAGATATTAGTATAGCTCACCACTAAAGCCTCTGTGATCCGCAATTCATTCAGTCTCAACTCTATCATTTATGACTTACAAACATTTTTGCAATTCACTACTATGCTTATGTGACTAGCTACGACCCATGTGGCTCATAGTTCATGTAGATGCCAACTCGGGCCCTATGTCATACGAACATTGTTTTTCACTACCATGGATTATATGGCTCAAATCTCCTAAAACTCCATATTATGACCTATCCGGCCAACCGACAGCCCTGAAACAATCATATACGACTACATGGCCAACCACTACCATGGCTTTCACCTGTGGACTCTATAACAAGTTGTCACAATACTCACCATCTACAACATTCACAAAAAATTATTAACTATAGCTCATCTTCATCTGCTCATTGCCATCAATAGACCTTGTAAGATAACAACATATGACCCAAAATGTGGCCCGAATATGGTTCAATGGCGCACCCTTAAGATAGTGCAATAACACACCCCAAACTTAGTGTAATAGTGTGCCCCAAGGGCGATGAAACAACATGCCTTGAAGACAATGCAACGACATGTCTCAAAGATTGTTCAATAATGCACCCCAAATTTTGGGTAAGGACACACCTCGACTAAGGTGTAATGATGCAATATAAATCTCATGTAGCAATATACCCAAAATTTGAGGTAACAAATAAGGTTGTATTGAAGATCCAAAAATAACTCACGACGGCAATGACTTATGAGCATCGTACTCAAGATTCGTCTTTTTCCATACACTTGAATCATAGCTCCCCGCTATGGCCTCTACAGTAAATTGACCTTATCACAACTCTACACGACCAACTATGACCAATGTGACTCATAACTCATGTAGCTCCAAACTTCAACCTTCGTAGCTGAGCACCACAACCTACATAAGCAACTATAACCTACATGGTCCAAATTTCACAACTCCAAACTCCAACTATTGTGGCCTACGAACATTATAACATCTCACCACTACAACCTATATGACAATCTACAACCTACATGGTCCATAATTACATAATGAATTATTTCAAATAAGTTAAGACTCCATTTTTTCTAGTTTTAGTAGTTTTCACATAAAAAATCATGGTGCTTCTCGTGCTATTTTTCTTTTTTCTGTATGTGTTAGATCTCGTACTACGTTGAGACGTTAATTTATAACCCTATTAACAACGATCTTCCCGACAGGCATGAAGTGTATTTTTTTTTATTTTATAAAACATATTGATTTTAATTAATAGCTAATCGAATATAACGCTTATATTTTTTTTTCGCATACTCAAGAGCTCAATTGTTAACGACTACTTTCCGCACGCAATATTCGTGCATCAACCAATCAATAATGAACAAGCATTTTTACAAATTAACAAGCAATGAGAGCAAACAATATGATCATTTACGTATAAATATATATATCGCAAACACGCAATATTTTCCTCTTTTTTATTTTTCTTAAACTACATACAAATAAATAAAAAGTATGATTCTATTATATTTAATTTACATTCAATCAAACACTTAAATTCAACCTATATAATATTCTTAAACTATACATCTCCATCCTGAATATAATATTTCCTTCGATTTTCATCTTCATCATTCAAGCTACTGAACACATCCAACAAATATCGTATCACTCAGCCCGCCGGAACGCATACACAACCAATTTACTCCTCCGGCGATATAGCCGGCGGATATCCAATACCATGCCTCTCATTCGGAAACGCCACGAAAATTGTACTCGCCACCCCACCCACCACCGTCGGCAACACTCTCATTAAAATCTTCTCCTCCCCCTCCGCCGCAGGGTAAAAACACCTCACCGTATCCAAATCCAACAACGCAATTGCACCAAACACCACAATCGACAAGAACGCGTGGACAAAATCACCAATCCTCAACTTATACTTCGAGAGATCTCTCTGAGACGCATTAGGGTCGGAGAATGTCCATAACCCCGTCCGCGTAGCGATTCCATAGTAAACCCGACCGTCAGCGGTAACATAGCTGTCTGTGAAGGTGGAGAAACAGCAGGAGAAGCCGCAGATGGCGAGGAGAGCGCCGGAAAGGTATTTGTTGACGGTACTGCAGTGGCCGTTGTTTGTGAGGAGGGGATTAAGGAACTGGAATAGGAAGACGGTGCCGCTTGGAAGGAGTTTGATGAGGTCGCCGAGACCTTTGAAGGCTCTGTCGCTGAAGGTTAAGGATTTTTGGTGTTTTCTTATGAGAAAAGCCATTTGTTTTGGATTTGTTAGGTTTTCTTCTGATAGGATGCTCGAGCTTCGATCCCATGTAATATATATAGAAGGTGACGGAATGACAAAAATTTTGGATAAGGATGCATTTTTAAAATTTTGAGGTCGATTAAATAAGATTTTATTTAAGATAGTAGTTTATATGTACTTGAATTTATCTATTTATTTATTATTATATTTTTTTAAAGGGTTGATAGCCGACCAACTCGACTAAGGGGCGGACCCCCCTTCCAGAAGGTGTGTAGTTCAATCCTATGCAGGGATCGAACCCTCGACCCGAGAGGCTTGCATCAAAGGCCACAACCAATGACACGGCTAATACACTTTTATATATATATATATATATATATGGG